AAGTTAAACCACCAATGTTGGATTAAGGATGACATTTGTAATCAAAGATACACTGAAGCCCCACATTTTGCTTATATGGGGTTAAATATCCTGCTTACACATGTAGCCTGACATTCGTGATTTTGACCAGAAACCAGAATATCATCAGTCAACCCAGTAACCCTAAAGAAAAGCTGGTGCTACTAACAAGACGTTTCTGTTAATACTGAACTGGAGAATATTGATGTCCTTTAACTGAAAGCACCCTGCCCTCACCATGAATCTTAAGATTTTACTGGAACCTCTCTATTTGATCAAGGACTTGAACCCTGTCCAGTCCTGCTTGTGATTCATGCTATCTTTCTACTGAAGAAGCTGTTGTCCTCCTTCAGGTTGTAAATGACACTTAGCAGGATGCCTTTTGATTATATTTACATTGTTCTTCTTCACTATTCATCCTCATCCAATAGGCATGTGCTTCTTAAACATGTTCTATTTTAAATTGACTGCTGGTCAGCACGTCACATTCCAGAAAAATTCTCAAGTTTAGGAGGGACGGTCATGTTTGTGCTCAATAAACCAAAGAACTTCAAAGACATTAAGGTGTTGTGTTATTGTTGAGCCTTTGTTTCAGAGGATGTGGATATGCGAGCTACGTGGACTTTCAGCCTATATGCAAGTCTGCATGGACAAAGAAAATACAGACAGCATAAGCATAATAATGAGGCAGTTTGGTCATAATTGATTTCATATTGAGAACACATAAATGAGAGTTTAGATTTTTGAACTATCAATTATTATTGCTACCATCTCTTTGAGAAGAACATTTCTTATGACAGACCCAACACATGCAAGAATCTTTTTTACAGCTGCTTGTATTGGCTGCTGAATCAAAAATAAACCAATAGACAGTTTCATGTAACAAGTTTAATGTCTTCTCTAAACATAACAGACATTGGTTCCATTTTCCTCTTCAAAGTATAGCTGTTCCTCACAGTCACTGCAGTGTTCCAGCAATGTCTCTCAGTGCAGACCTGGTGTCCTTAGCATCTTTGTGACTGTTGACAGTCAGTAGGGTTTGCCTCCAATGGCACTGAGCATCTCCAGTCTCTCCGCAGCTGTGGGCATTTCAGGTTTAATACCATCTCTTCTTCTCTGCACCATTATGTTGTGCTGCAAAGAAAACAACACAAATAAGAACATGCAACCACTGCTTCATCTTACTAATTAAAATTGTTCTCAAACCAATTCTACTCAAACTGGAAACAAGTGCATATTTTCGCATCCTACCCTAAACTAGATTCTACTAGTACGTTCCTCTTAAAAGAACATTTTCCCTTCTTGTTTCGAAGTGATGGCTGTGAATGTCCAAACAACCTAAGATTTGAAAGCTGCAGTTTATTTAGGTGGACGGATAGTAAGTGAAGTAGGTGTTGGTTGTAGATGTGTACCGACAGGAGTTTCCTGGCCCATTGTGATTACTGATCTTTAAAAAGCCTGACCTGCCAATTCAGAGTTTGGCCAATATCATTTTTTTTTCCTGAAATGTTGCTAAATATAGCAATAAAGTCACTAAGTTGGCAACAGTGGGGTGACTATTAACTGCAAACGCGCAGACATGTTCTGGTAGGCCAGTCCATCGGTCTATCCTCTCTCACAGGAGAGCAGAAGAGGACAGTGGTTGATTTTTAGACATTTGTTGAGATAGATATGATCACTGGATATGATTGGCATCACATGTAAGTATGATCACATATAGTTGAGAAAAGACAGCTTTGGATAAAAGACAGGGTTAAATACTGAAAGACAGGGGGTTGTGAGAGTTGCTGCAGGCTCTGGGAACCAACACTACTTGCCCCTTGCTGCTCTTGGGTGCCAAGTGCTCACCACTGTAACATCTTCACGATTTCAGGTGCCAAATGAACACATGTGCCTACTGCACAAATGCACGCTCACGCAAACAATCCAAAAGTTAGCAGGTCGCATAAACAAGTTCATATTTCATTATTGCAATCTTTCCCCACATAGTAGTCATGTCTGGGCTAGATGTGGCATCAGGATGGCACTGTTGGCTGACTGCTGGCACAGCACCTGGTATTTCAACCAGAACTGGCCCCATAATGATTTGGTGTACATGGGCTGAATTTGTACAGGGCTGGTGCTAGCCATTCAGATACCTCAAAGCACAGATCCACAGTCAAACATTTTCTGTACAAACATGGGTTGAAAAGCCACTCAGCAAGGACAAAGTCATTACTTCAAGAGAAACATAAAGTCAGATTGTTGTTTGCAGATGCACAAAGGGACAAAGATCTTCATTTTTGGAGACATGTCCTGTGGTCTGATAAGACTAAAGTGGAACTGTTTGACAATGATGACAATCGTTACATTTGGAGGAAAAACGATGCTTGTACCATCCTACCTGTAAAGTATAGTAATGAAAGCATCATGGTACTGTGTTGCTGAAGGAGGAACTGGTGTACTTAATAAAAAAGATGTAATAATGAGGAAAGAAGAAAGATATTGAAACAATATCTAAAGACATCAGACAGAAAGTAAAAGCTTGGGCACAGATTGGTTTTCCAATGGAATATTATCCGTATTTGACAGTTTATTTTTTTAAGAGAAGGAAAAGTCTGAAGCCTATCCGTCATTTGAGCGGATTACAATCTGACTATAATTAGTGCAGATGCACAAGCATTTTCAACTTTATGCACAGACTACATCGCAGTGGTAACTAATCAATCAATCAATAACAAAAAAAAATCCCTTTTGAATATTATCTCTGACATGTATACTGAACAAAATGCATCTTGCTGACTGGGAGCTGACGGCTTGTGGAAGTTTTGGACAGGACACTTTGAAGAGCATCTGGTTCAGAGACACATTCATTAGTTTGGTGGCCGTAGCGCTTTTAACAAGAAAATACAGAAAAAAGAAAACTAAAGAACATTATGTTGAGTTAATCTTTACAGTCTAAATAGAGAAGTAGACAGTTTACCTTGTTAAAGACAGACTATTTTTTTTAACTCATTCATTCAATAGTGATCCCATGAACATTCAACACAACTTCAAATTAACACATACATGAAAGTGCAGAATTACAGTAAACACCTTCATAATCTCATATATTCTGAAAAACATTTAGTTCATTTATTAAAAAAAATTATATTCTAACATCACTCTTGCTCTTACCACTCTTAAAAAAACATCTTCATTATTACTTTTATAGTTTCTGCTGATAAATTGGCAATTTCTAATAAATTGCCAACTCTGCTTGACCAAGAAAAAAATTCAACAGATTTTCTTCAGTATTTTTTTTGAAATGTTAGTTTCACTGTTAGAAACTCTATAAATGATTGCCAAATATCCCCAAGTAATGTAAATTAAGCCCATTATTCTAAAAAGATTGTACAAAACAAAAACAAAAAAATTTTTCTTAATGAACCAAAGGGATATTTATCAGAAACAGGATTAGTAAGAGAAACAAAAGCATTAGCAATAAAAAAAATTTCCATTGTAAATCACCACCATTATTATACAGTGGTGGCTTATAAAGTAACTCCCATAAATGTTTTGCCTCAAAACAAAAAACAACAAATAAAAAAATCAATTAACTTTACTTAGTTCAAAGCCTTAACACATCTCATGTACAGTTATGTTCATAATAACAGCAGTATGTTTCAAAAGATGAGTACACCTAAAAATTCTTCAAATAAATATTTTAATGAACACGAATGCATTGGGGACACTGCACATTCTATTTCAAACAAGAAAACTGGAAGAAGTAGTTGAATAGGACAATATTTTACAGAAAATCAAGAAATATAATGTTCAAAAAAATAGTAGTGTTGACATCTTTCTTTACAAACTCAAAAATGTATCAAATAAACTAAGAAATGCTTGAAGATTCAACTTTCCTGAGAATTGTAACCTAATATTGAGTTGCATAACCGCAGTTTCTGATAACTGCTTCACATCTGTGGTACATGGAGTCGACCAGCTTCTGGCACCGGTCAGCAGGTTCTGCAGCCCAGGACAACTCTACTATGTTCCACTAACCCTATTCCTCTACATTTCTTGGTTTTGCCACATGAATAGCATTTTTTGTCAGCCAACAACTTTTCTATGGGATTAGAGTCTGGAGATTGTGCTGCCCACTCCGTTACTTGAATTCTGTTTTTCTGGAACCATGATTTAGCTCGCTTGCTGGTGTGTTTGGGGTCACTGTCTTGTCAAAACACCCGTTTCAAGGAGATGTCCTCTTTAGAATACGGCAAGATGACTTCTTCCAGTATTCTATTGTACTCAATGATCCATGATCTCTGGTATGCGATTAATGGGACCAACACCATAGTACAAGAAACCTCCCCACTTCATGATGCTTGAACCACCATGCTTCACCGCCTTCACTGTGTACTGTGGCTTGAATTCAGTGTTTGCAGAACATCTGACAAACGGTCTGTGGCCCTTAAAACCAAAAATAACAATCTGACTCTCGTCAGTCCACAAAATATTCCTCCATTTCTTTTTATGCCAGTCAATGTGTTCTTTTTCAAGTTGTAACCGCTTCAACTTGAGCAAAGTCCTATATTTTTTCACAAAGGGCCTTTGCGGGGGCTTCCTACTGGTAGCTTGGCTTCTCATAGACGTCGTCTGATTGGTGCAGTACTCACAGGCAATCTGAGATCATCATTGATCCTCCAGGAGCTGATCGTTGGCTGAACCTTTGCCATTTTGGTTACTGACTAATTCATTCGAGCGTTCGCTTTTCTTTTTTTTTTCCTCTTCTTTCTGGTTTTGGCTGCCATTTTAAAGAGTTTGATATCATTTTAGCTGAACAGCCTGTCATTTCTGAACTTCTTTATTGGTTTGCCCCTCTTTCATAAATTTAATGCTCTTCTTAACAGTGTCTTGAACGATCTTCATACTCTGCTTGTCAAGGACAAATGCACATCCATCATGTGCAACATCAGTTGCCTTGACCCTTAAGGATCCTCAAGTTGATCCTCAAGGGTCAACTTAAGGATCAAGGTGAAAATAAATGCTTAACACCTATTTTTTCACATAAACAATAACCTCACTAACTAAGCTTGGCACTGCTATTTTTTTTTTTAACACGTCCCTCTTAGAATAAGATTCAGTTTCACAGTATCAGCAGCATGCACATCAAGCCCGTCGGGTCTGTTGGTTTTCTATACCTTTACTAAACCTTCTTGAAACGTGCTTATATTGTCAAAGAAGGAATTCTAACAAAAACAGAGATTTATCTTGCTAGTGATGTGGGACTGCTATTATTTTGAACACAATTATACAGTGCCTTATGAAAGTATTCGGCTCCCTTGAACTTTTCACTCTTTTGCCACTTTTCAGGCTTCAAACAAAGATCTAAAATTTTGATTATTTTGTGAAGAATCAACAAGTGGGACACAATCGTGAGGTGGAACGAAACTTATTGGATATTTCAAACTTTAACAAATAAAAAACTGCAAAGTGGGGCGTGCAATATTATTGGATCCCTTTACTTTCAGTGTAGCAAACTCACTCCAGAAGTTCAGTGAGGATCTCTGAATGATCCAGTGTTGTCCTAAATGACTGATGAGTAGAATCCACCTGTGTGTAATCAAGTCCCCTATAAATGCACCTGCTCTGTGATCATCTCAGAGTTGTGTTTAAAGCGCACAGAGCATCATGAAGACCAAGGAACACACCAGGTAGGTCCCAGATACTGTTGTGGAGAAGTTTAAAGCTGGATTTGGATACAAAAATGTGTCCCAAGCTTTAAACATCTCAAGGAGCACTGAGCAAGCGATCATATTGAAATGGAAGGAGTATCAGACCACTGCAAATCTACCAAGACCCCGATGTCCCTCTAAACTTTCATCTGAAATAAGGAGAAGACTGATCCAAGATGCAGCCAAGAGACCCATGATCACTCTGGATGAACTGCAAAGATCTACAGCTGAGGTGGGAGAGACTGTCCATATACAACAATCAGTCATACACTGCACAAATCTGGCCTTTATGGAAGAGTGGCAAGAAGAAAGCCATTTCTCAAAGATATCCATAAAAAGTCTCATTTAAAGTTCGCCACAAGCCACCTGGGAGACACAGCAAACATGTGGAAGAAGGTGCTGTGGTCAGATGAAACAAAAATCCAACTTTTTGGTTGT